TTTCTTTGATCACAGCGCTGCGAAACCACTGGGAACAGAAGCGGGACACTTCAAATGGTTTACAGTCGGGCAAATAAAATGATCCACCTATCATGATCAAAATTAAAAGCTAGCTTCATGAGTGGTCATCTCAAGGATAAACCTGTTGTACTTTTCTTCATTAGGGGACTGAAACAAATGTCAACATTTTTGCCCCCGGGTTAACACAAAAAGGTCTTGTTTTATAGAATTTTAGTTTAAAAAGAAATTCAGCATTAACATTTTTTATTCCCTTTCTGTTCAAACTTCTGTGTACTAAATACTTCCATTTCACTATTTTGACTGTTTTCCTTTAAATATATACAAACAAAATTTATATAACAGGAAAGAAACTCGTTGAGATTAAACATGTGTTTTTTAAGCGTGTCCTGGTGAGACATGCAGCAGCACAATTAACAGAGTTAATTCAGAGCAACAAATTCAACAGCAAAAGTTTGTCAAGATCATCCACAAACACATCAAGGTGAACATCTACTGCCAGCTGTGTCCGCCTCCAAGTCATTCAACATCCTCTTAAAATCATCCTGAGAGCAGCTCGGCAAGTCTCAACTCTTTGTAATTTGTTCTAATTAAAAGGGAGCAGCAACCTTAAACGCCTTCTTCCCCACTTCATTAGGAACAGACCGTAAGAAAAGGTCCTGGGATCAAAGATGATAAGTCACTGTACTCTTCTGACTGATAGAGGACAGAAGGTATATGATAGAGGTCAGAAGGTATGAAGGAAGAAAACCTAGATAGATAGACTTGTAGCAAAGAATACATCAGTGTGAAAGTCTGTGTACGGTGAAAGACATCTAACCAACACATGCATACAGCAAACAGGGATGAGTGAGGGATTTAAACTGAGTGTTGATTCTTAGAGCTCTATTTTAATCAACAAAGCACACGCACTCTATGAGCTTGTACACCTATCACAATATTTGGAAATCGCCTTTTAAAATGCAGATAAAGGACTCTGAGCAAAAACAGTTTGGAGGAAAAGAAAAAACTCACCACTGTGATGACCTCCAGATCTTTCAGGTATGTTCGCTCTGTGGTCAGAATCTCTTTGGCAATGAAGTAGGCCTTATCGGTGGGATATCTCTGAGAGACAAGAAGGACATTAAGTTTCTCTGCTCTGAACAACAACACAACCACCATAAAAAAATATATATATTTCTAACTGAAAGAAATGTTTCCTCCATGTCAGTGAGAAACATCTTAAAATCCCATCCCATTATTAATCACAAAGATAGATAGATATGGGTTCAGGTTTATGCAATTTTTCTACTCTGACAATTGTGGTGTTAGGCGGCTGGTTGGAAGGGTGAGCAGTGTACCTTCCTCCTGCCCTCATCCTCCTCCTCTAGCCTGGCATTGCTGCCCACCTCACTCAGGATGGGGCTTTGCAGGGGCGACGAGGCGTGACCCGGCAGGCTGAGGGTCGACATCTGGAAGGAGGGCGACAAGCAGAGGGGTCCTTTGGTGGTTAAGGGTGAGAGCTGAGGGCTGTCGACGGTGTCTGTGGAGAAGAGAAAATAAAGATCGTATAAAATTAATCAAGCTTAAGACAGTGGGGGGGGTTACATGAAACAGGTAATAGAACTCTACTAAATCAGGAAAAACACAATCTTTTGAAAGTATGAATCAACAACAATGCTCTCTAAAACATCCAATTTTAACAATAACTAAATGTGTGTCATACAGTCAAATATTCAACACTATGCTTCATCCTCCCCCAACCTGCAGAACTCAACGCAAGAGCTTCACATTTCAACAAAAACAAGCGGCCACAAAAGAAAGAAGAGACGGCAGAGCGGACCAAGTAAAGTAATGGTTCCCACATTTCCCCCCATGCTTTTGTTTTCAGAGCCCTCAACCAAAAGAACAAACGATTGTTTGGCAACTTAAACGAGCACTGTTCCAATTCAGAGAACTGGCTCTTCTGCTTTTGTTCTGCCTGTGCAACAAAACAAGCAGATGAAACAGTCCGCTCTCCTCTTTACTGGGTAAGGTCACCACAGCTGTTCTTCCACTTCTAATAGAAAGAGAGAGAGAGAAAAAAAAAAGGAGTGGGGGAAGGCCAAGAGGGAGGAGAAAAAAAAAAAAAAAAAAAAAGTCACAGCTCGACCCGGAAATAATTGCTCAGGCAAAGAGTTATCAGGAATGTGGCCTGTGTGGAGGGAAAATGGTTGTTTATAGTTTATCTCTGTGTGCCCCACAGGGAATGACACGAGAAGAGGGGAGAGAGAGCAGACGTTGGGCTCCACAGCACGAAGCAGAGGGCTTTCTGTGGAATGGTTTGGCACAAAGCCTCCGCAAACAGGGAGCACTCACACTCAGCTGGAATTGGGTTGAGGAATCTCGTGTACGAGTTCGACCCAACCCCCCAAAAGCACAACAGTTTGTTGCCTTCAATTTAAACGGAAAAATACAGGATGATTACACCAATCATGTATATCATGGACTTCTTTTTTTAGTTATCGTCAAGAAAACTCTGCTCTAATATGATGATTAAATTCTCTAGAAATGAGAAAACCTTCAGTGGGTATTAAATTGAGTTTACACAATTTTTAGTTTGTTGTTTTACAAATGAAAGCAGCTTTCATGTGAAGGAAATTGATCCCACCTTGGATCTGCAGCTTCTCATGAAGATTACTGTGAGAATATGAATCACATTTTATAGACATATTTAATCTAAATATATTGAGTTTAACCCTTAAAACATCCTCTCTTTCTGCACGTACCTGTCAAACTAATGTAAGATTCTGATAAAGCACTTGAAAGTTTATCAACAAATGACTATTTCAACTTTTTAAAGTCTCTAAAAGAATTTTAAGTCTGACATTCATGGTACCCCAAAGTGATTACTTTATTCTTGAGAGGAAAACATACACACATTAAGTACAGGTGGTTAAGAATAATAATAAGTATACATATGCAGGATTAAGTGACGATTACTTGATGTCTAAGTGCAGTAAGCTTAGCTGGTTAATCTTCAGCCATGTCATTAATTAACTATTTAGTAGAGATGTGAGGACAATCAAATGTCAGAACACAAAGAATAAGGCAAAAATAAGGAAAAGTCATAAAGACAAACCCTTGATCAGATGAACTACATTTCCAAGCTAAGAGGCTAAACTGAAACAAACGTCCACAAATGTGATTTTAGATAGATTGCAAAATGACTTCGATGTGTTTGCTATCCTTTAAAATGACAATGAGAGCTAATGAGTTTATGAAAAGCGATTCCTTAGGTACTAAAGGGGACAACTTCATTAAGACTGCCCCTTTCTTCACCATAACATCTTAACAATTACTATTAAAAGTTAAACAGGGGTCCACACCTGAGATTCATATAAATGCATACTGTTAGAAAAGAATGAAAGTAAGTGCTATAAGGCACTGAGGTGCAAGACAAAAAGGAAGACTGCATAATATAAGACTCACTTTGCAAAAGCCAGGTGAAGTCCAATTTCAGGCAGATTAAATTGAGAACAAAAAAAGGGCAAAATCAAGATGTTTGCCTTGCTCAGAGACTGTCAGCATAGGAAAAGTCAAACTAACAAGATAAAGACTGTGAGAGCAAAGTAATGAAATACAACTCACTTTGATATCAACACAACTACTTGAGTTCTACGGCACAAGCCGAGTCCTTGACGACAGAATCAGCAATAGAAATAACTGAGGCCTGGAGTACAGATAAAAAGATGTTACGAATCTTTGCACGTGCTATTACTTAAGGTACTGACCACAAGACAGGAACACATGGTTCCTTCACAAATATGAAAAAACAAACATTTAAAAATCCAGCTAACATAAAAGAGAATTGTGCAAAAAGCCCCTACTTCCTTCCAATTAACATGGTATCATGTTGTTGGTACCATGACAAAGACAGAAAAAGACAAAAAAAACCTGCTAAGGGCTACATGCCAGATAAAAAGAGACAAAGCGAGATCAATCTCTAGTCGTGTACCGACAGTTCAATAAAATACTCACTGACTTAAACTGACAGGCTGTCCTGGAAGTGACATTAATAGCTTCTATGATCTAAAAGTGCTACATCTAGAAAGTACTTCTGCATTTAACAATATAATACGGTTTACTGGGTGTTACAGGCTCGCCACAACAGCACAAAGCCATGCACACGATTCGGATTATACATTCATTTCTTTAAAAGTGGTGTTAACAGCGTACTTGACGGCTCATTAGTACACTGTTGACATTCTTCAGCTTAAGCTAAAATGTTAGTTTGTGTCTATTTCTGAAAAATATTTAAAGTTTCTAATCCTTCAGAAATCAGGAATTGGAAGTGCTTGATACCACCTACATGCTGTGGATTAGCATCACAAGAAGAACTGTCGCATCCAGCCAGCAGATGTCAGTGAGGCACAGAAGTGCAAACTGAAAAGTGGCTCAGTTTGTTTCTGCATGCCTTTTTTTTATTACAGGAAGCCTGTGAGAATCACTAAACCTGGACAACTTTCTGTTTATTTTTTTTTTTTTTTTTTTTTTTATTTTTTTTTTTTTTTTTTTTTATTTTTTTTTTTTTTTTTTTTATTTTTTTTTTTTTTTTTTTTTTTTTTTTTTTTTTTTTTTTTTTTTTTTTTTTTTTTATTTTTTTTTTTTTTTTTTTTTATTTTTTTTTTTTTTTTTTTTTTTTTTTTTTTTTTTTTTTTTTTTTTTTTTTTTTTTTTTTTTTTTTTTTTTTTTTTTTTTTTTTTTTTTTGTTTTTTTTTTTTTTTTTTTTTTTTTTTTTTTTTTTTATTTTTTTTTTTTTTTTTTTTTTTTTTTTTTTTTTTTTTTTTTTTTTTTTTTTTTTTTTTTTTTTTTTTTTTTTTTTTTTTTTTTTTTTTTTTTTATTTTTTTTTTTTTTTTTTTTTTTTTTTTTTTTTTTTTTTTTTTTTTTTTTTTTTTTATTTTTTTTTTTTTTTTTTTTTTTTTTTTTTTTTTTTTTTTTTATTTTTTTTTTTTTTTTTTTTTTTTTTGTTTTTTTTTTTTTTTTTTTTTTTTTTTTTTTTTTTTTTTTTTTTTTTTTTTATTTTTTTTTTTTTTTTTTTTTTTTTTTTTTTTTTTTTTTTTTTTTTTTTTTTTTTTTTTTTTTTTTTTTTTTTTTTTTTTTTTTTTTTTTTTTTATTTTTTTTTTTTTTTTTTTTTTTTTTTTTTTTTTTTTTTTTTTTTTTTTTTTTTTTTTTTTTTTTTTTTTATTTTTTTTTTTTTTTTTTTTTTTTTTTTTTTTTTTTTTTTTTTTTTTTTTTTTTTTTTTTTTTTTTTTTTTTTTTTTTTTTTTTTTTTTTTTTTTTTTTTTTTTTTTTTTTTTTTTTTTTTTTTTTTTTTTTTTTTTTTTTTTTTTTTTTTTTTTTTTTTTTTTTTTTTTTTTTTTTTTTTTTTTTTTTTTTTTTTTTTTTTTTTTTTTTTTTTTTTTTTTTTTTTTTTTTTTTTTTTTTTTTTTTTTTTTTTTTTTTTTTTTTTTTTTTTTTTTTTTTTTTTTTTTTTTTTTTTTTTTTTTTTTTTTTTTTTTTTTTTTTTTTTTTTTTTTTTTTTTTTTTTTTTTTTTTTTTTTTTTTTTTTTTTTTTTTTTTTTTTTTTTTTTTTTTTTTTTTTTTTTTTTTTTTTTTTTTTTTTTTTTTTTTTTTTTTTTTTTTTTTTTTTTTTTTTTTTTTTTTTTTTTTTTTTTTTTTTTTTTTTTTTTTTTTTTTTTTTTTTTTTTTTTTTTTTTTTTTTTTTTTTTTTTTTTTTTTTTTTTTTTTTTTTTTTTTTTTTTTTTTTTTTTTTTTTTTTTTTTTTTTTTTTTTTTTTTTTTTTTTTTTTTTTTTTTTTTTTTTTTTTTTTTTTTTTTTTTTTTTTTTTTTTTTTTTTTTTTTTTTTTTTTTTTTTTTTTTTTTTTTTTTTTTTTTTTTTTTTTTTTTTATTTTTTTTTTTTTTTTTTTTTTTTTTTTTTTTTTTTTTTTTTTTTTTTTTTTTTTTTTTTTTTTTTTTTTTTTTTTTTTTTTTTTTTTTTTTTTTTTTTTTTTTTTTTTTTTTTTTTTTTTTTTTTTTTTTTTTTTTTTTTTTTTTTTTTTTTTTTTTTTTTTTTTTTTTTTTTTTTTTTTTTTTTTTTTTTTTTTTTTTTTTTTTTTTTTTTTTTTTTTTTTTTTTTTTTTTTTTTTTTTTTTTTTTTTTTTTTTTTTTTTTTTTTTTTTTTTTTTTTTTTTTTTTTTTTTTTTTTTTTTTTTTTTTTTTTTTTTTTTTTTTTTTTTTTTTTTTTTTTTTTTTTTTTTTTTTTTTTTTTTTTTTTTTTTTTTTTTTTTTTTTTTTTTTTTTTTTTTTTTTTTTTTTTTTTTTTTTTTATTTTTTTTTTTTTTTTTTTTTTTTTTTTTTTTTTTTTTTTTTTTTTTTTTTTTTTTTTTTTTTTTTTTTTTTTTTTTTTTTTTTTTTTTTTTTTTTTTTTTTTTTTTTTTTTTTTTTTTTTTTTTTTTTTTTTTTTTTTTTTTTTTTTTTTTTTTTTTTTTTTTTTTTTTTTTTTTTTTTTTTTTTTTTTTTTTTTTTTTTTTTTTTTTTTTTTTTTTTTT